ATATGCGCGATCGTATAAAAATAGTAGCAGACTGCTGTAACTGTAGACTTCGCCACAAGTGGTTTTAGTTAGTAGCAGCAGCAGCAGCAGCAGCAACAAAAACAGATCTTACACTTGTATTTGAAAAATAAGTCTTCTATTATAGTATGCAAAAGGGCCCTAAAACCTGAATGAGAATATGATGCAACCTAATCAAGTTCATCTTGTTAAAATATGTAAATAAGCCGCGTCAGTTTTAAATAAACCAACGCCTGGCAGTGAATTCACAGTCAAAAAAAGGAAGAAAACACCATCCCTGTGTGACGTGGTATACCTAAAAAAACCAGCGGTGTCCGTAAGGCTCCATACCCATAGAAGATGTACCCTTATAAAATTCAGATGACACAAATAGTCATTCATTTTGCAAAGAGTTTTCTAACTGGGTGTTGTACAGGTTGAAACAAAGCAGTGAGAAACAGTGAGTACAGAAAGATAAGAGAAAACAGAGTTTAGCAATAAGCATAGTTTTACGTGGCGATTGAGACAAACAATAGCCGCTTAAAAGGCACTGAGAATTCGCGAGCTATCCACGAAGGTAGGTTTGTATCACAAAAACCTACTCTCTAGTGCGATATGTGGGTCCGAAGCATCAACTGAATCTTTTTGACGATACCGTAGATTCTGTTTGCTACCAGAAGCTGATACCAGGCTTTCCTGCATCCCGGACCATTGAAAGAGGTCTTTAAGTTGAGGTTTCAGGATGGTTGACATCTCTACGTAACTAGTAACATAATCGCGTTATAAATGAATCACATAACGGAGTGTCTGATCTCCGATCGAAATGGCGACGAATGGCCCCCTCAGATTACGTGATCTTTATGTTTCGAGTTTCGATACGTCCAGTATCGCTGTTAGGCATTCCATTATACGGCTGGCTTCCAGCACGAAACAAAGTCTGTCCGTCTATGTTCGAACTTGAATCTAGACCACAACGTGCCCCTAGGACAGATCACTAGACGTAACTCCACATGAAGGCACCAGAAAAATACGGTGTAATATTCACGAAGACTTGAGAAAAGTCGCTACTGTAGAGATAGGGCCTGACGTATGCGGAAAAGTAGCAAAAACCTGGATGAAATAAAGAACTACTGTTAAAGAGAACAAAAATGGTGTTTTACTTGTAATTTCCGATAACTAACCTTTAGTCGATAGCTGATGTTTGCATTGCTGTTGAACTATCGTCGATGGGCAGTAACAAATAGAACACGTGATGATTGACGACGCTGCATGGTTATCTTTCCGCTGAGCATTTTCTTGGCTTACTTGATTTTTACCATCTCGCTGACCTATGTCGTCTATATCGCTCGGGTTATTGCTTTCCATATTGTTTCTCATATTAATTTTGTTCCGATCTACACCCTTGCCGACATCCGCGACTTCTCTACTTTGGTTAAATTTATCAGAGTCTTCCGGTGAAGATGCAACCTCTCGATGGCGTATTTTCACCTACAATAAGTAACAAAGACACCCAAAATGCAGGACAACTACAGTTTTGACTGATACAGTGCATCGTAAATCTGTATACTCAGTATCGATAAGCTCATGTACGAAGTTCTAACCAGAGTCTGCTACCGTCTAGGAGAACCCTTTACGGGCCTTGTGCTTACTTTTATAGTTCAAAAATACACATTAGTTTTACTATAAATATGAAAATATAAAGAAAAACACCGCATATGTGTTTACTCTCCAGACGGCCAAGTCTCGGTTTGTAGGTGTTGCAGGCTTCAACATCCCTTCCATTGCTCTGCAGACTACAATACTGTGCAGTACAAATATTGAAGTTGATCAGTGATTCTAATTTATTTTGAGTTTACCTGTCGAAGCCTAGAAGGTGGGCCAACATAGGTGAGTGTTTCTTCAGGACTTGGTGTACGATCACATACCAAGTCGATTTGGATTTCCGGAGTTGGATCCTGGAACGGTGACAGAAGCGCTAGACTGATGCTTACAAAGACCGAAGCAACATTTTGGGAACAAGCGGCGACAAGTATTTCCGTATGGCTCAGAAACTATAACTTATGTGATTGGAAAAATACCCCCAGTTCACAGAAGGTGCGTAATACGTGTCTCTGGTGGGACTTGGAGCAGCGGCTCCTTCATTTGTATGTTCAACGCATTACGCTCGTTAGGTTTTTCTAAATATATACGGTTATGCATCAAAAATTCTGTAATGACGCACTGTTAGAATTAGCAGCTGCTTAATTTTCCTAAATTTGCTGAAATGTTCCGTTGCAAAAATATTTTGATACAGGTTGAAAACGAAAATAGTTTATGAAATATATGTTTCAACTGAATATGCCTTAGCATGGACAAATATTAACCTCACGGGCCAAATTTGGTTTCAGTTCTAGTCTTTATAGGCTCGAAGTCTTCACCCGTAGTCTTTCCTTGTGCAGCTATGAAGCAAGAGTTCTAACGTCGGCTACTTACTGTCGAACTAAAAGGTAAACCATTCATTTAGACGAAGTAGAACACATAATATCGTGTAACTTACGGAAAACGAGCTCATCTTATATCGAGACAGACTATTCGCCATTTCCTCGGCCAAGACTGCTTCGTCATCTTCTTCCTCAACTATACTGAACGCATGTTGAACTTGATACGCTATTATCATATTGACAGCAACCAAAATTTAGAACGAATACAACCGTTGTTAATTTACAAAAAAAAAAAAAGCAGTTTAGGTTTATCTAAGATGTTGATCATTTCAGGACCGGCTCAGAAGGTAATGCATGCTATGACTATGAAATTAACGTGGGATTACCAAGATTACGCTATGCTACATGTATATACACTGGCAAAACTTTGTAGTACTCTTGGTAGCATTTTGCTACTAGACAGTCTTTAAATGTGACATACAAATTTCCATGGCATTTATTTAGGCCTCTAACAATAATGACTGTTCGTTCTAGCGAGCATAAAGATGGCGGAGCTGATACAGATTTTATTTAAGCTACTAAAGATGCTACAACAAGATTAAGAACTATTTATATGTATATATACAATATGATTATATTAAAGAATTGTCAAAACCTAACGGTAAAAACGGCCGGTGCGCAGCCTTGGATGTCGCTCTAAAAGCTCTTTATAACATGTCACTCTAACAGCATAAGTTACAAACTAACTCAGTTTTTGGCTGACGGAAAAACCCCACGTGGAAAAGTTTTGTATAAGTTCGAATAGCTTAAACATACATATCCTTCCATCGCAAATGGGTACATGTGCCTAACGTCGATTTTTTTGCGACGGCCCATGTTGTTCTGACCTGTAAACGGTCCTCCTAGTCAACCGGCTCAACTGCTTCTATTCTTTACAACTACTGTCAGTGGTCCCTGAAAAGAGGCCGTAGAATTTATTCATTTTTGCTTTGAATAAGGTGACTTGCGTTAGAAAGCTAATTACCTGGCGCAACGCAATATTTTGTGCCTTACTTTCTGATACAGTTGATGGTGCAAAGTACTATACCTAAATCGTCCGATCTCGAAAATAGAGTTAGTATTACTGTTAATATCCGGAGAGTCGCCCCGATCAGCTTGTAATAAATAGGCTCCAATAGCATTTGTGATATGTAATTCACATATGGAACCGTGGAGAAAATTAAGAATCGGTGATTTTAGTAACGACTTGTAGCAATAAAAACAACACGTGCGAAGAGAGTTTACTACTCTCTAATAGTTGGGACAAACATGTACAACATGAGCTTTTCTGAAAGTTCCTAATAGCTTCACGACACCTCACAGCACACACAGACAGAAAAAAGCAGTTGACAAGAACAGAGCAGTGTGCTTTGTTCTGGTCAACTGCTTGCCGAGTTTAGCAAAAGAAAAAATAATTTAAATTTTCTATGTAAAATATTACCCAAAAAAAACGGCTCTGTGATTTGACGTTTACGTTATATGTAATGCGCTGGGTAGGTGCGTTATTTACGATACGTATGTTTCCGACTCCAGGTGCGTTATATACTGTAAAAGTATTCGCAAGTTGTTTCGCATCATATCGTACTGTGCGCAGAATTGTGATTTAGGTCAGTACGCTTCTAATATGCCTCTGCACTTAAAGGAACGAATGAATTCAGTGTTACATTGACCTGTGACCAATTGGTTCTACCCAGACTTCCGGCCCAGCAGTTCAACGTCCTTTTCTCCAGAGGCGCCCAGACAACTAAATATGTTTATATACCCATACATTGAATAATAATAGCGATGTTTAATGGCAAAAACGGACCCTTTATTTTATAGTCTAGAAGATTTCTAGGATATCACCCAAGCACTTAGTGTTCGTCCGGGAGCACGCAAGAAGACTGCACACTTAATATGACAGTGAAGGACTCCTCTACTACGAATCGCAGATGCGAAAAAGTTTTCCCACTTTGCATTTACAAACCCTGTCCGAGCAATGAGTTTCACATCACAATACAATACGAGGTTTGCAACGATTGCATCTAGTGCAGAACAACCGTCGAGTCTCCCTATCGAAATCCCTGGAAAAACACACAATGCGAACGGGTACCTTGATCAACTTGTAACAATTAAATGACTGCCCATCGAGCTATAACGAAATTCTGCTGCAGAGAATAAAAAAAAATGTTGTTAATCGAAATAAATGTCGCTGTTTAATTAACGGGATTTTCTTTACTACTCGACACGGAGTGGAGCGATCACCAGGGACCCAAATGCTTTCCTTTGAAGGGTAAACAAAAAAAGTATTTGATACCCTTCCATCTCACGCAATTTCGAAATAAATACGTCAATTAGCTGTGTTGCTTTTTGCGTCGTGGTAAAAGAGCTGCTGGCTTCAGATTAAATGAAGCCATTTTTAGAGTAGCGCACAAGTTGCTGAACATTGTCGGAATCTTCAAGCATTTGCTAGCACTACGGACGAATATTCTTTAGTATAGTTTATATGTAAGCGCTTAGACAGCGCTCTTGGGTGCGCTGTCCATGGATGACAATGGAAAAAAAACGCTTAATTTTCTTTTGAAAACATATGATTTTTCATATGAATTAGGCAAGCCTTAGGTTAAGACCACAGGCAGATTAAACCTCCACCAGAATAAAATCTTGACCCTTCAGTAGGGTATGCATGCGAAATTTCAAATAATAAATTTGGTCCTACTTTTGAATGTGCTCCGAGAAATTTCTATTTTTGTTGTTTGTTCTTTGAAAAACATCAACGATAGGATAAAAATTAATTTACCGTTCCTCTGCAAAAATGGGAGATCAGAAATTATCGAGAACTTTTAGAAAAGTACCCTACGTCAAATACCTTAGCGTTCCGATAAGGTTAATCTTTAAAATTTATAACCTTTCAGCCTCGTATTGTAGCGCTGAGTCTTCTGATACCTATCTATACAGAAACGTAAAATAATAACAAAAATAAAAACAATTAAATTAAATAAACAAATTAAAAAACCTGATCTTTGCGGGCACTTGTAAGTACTAACGCAGTTTCTATAGCTAAAAGCCACAGAACGTCAGTGTTGTTATGCATCTACTAATCTACAATTTATGGGTATCCACTATATACATATATATATCAACGAATAAATTAAATTATAGCCAAATATAGAATTTTTCCCTGCTGAAAGTTTTTCTGCTTCTGTAACTGGGTTCATGTCACCTCTACAAATGAACTATTTGATGCCTTTAATATTGGCGCCAATAAATGACGAGTAAATGGCATTATGAAAACGTTTTGTCATCCGCGTGAATAATTTTCGGTTTTCGTCAATTAACTGTCCGTGCGCTCGTGGTTCTTCGTTTCAAGGACTTAAATACGATGTTTCCGTAAAAAGATGTTAAGGCTTATTCGTGGGACATATAGCATCCGTATTACTTTGAGTTACATGTAATAGTGTTGGTAATTGTGCTGTATGTAACTAATAGTCTACCGATAATTTTATCAATAAAACGTGTTTAAACAAAATAGATATATCGAAACCTGAAGGATTTCGAAGAACAGCCACCGAGGCTTCGGTCTCTAAATCGTACCACTTTTAAATGTGCAGTATTTACCTCTAGTAACAGGATTTCCTAAAGGGCAGGATTTATTTTTTCTAAAATGCTGATTTTTGTATGCCTTCAAAAATGATCGCATGATGAAAATTTATAGCGCCAAAGGCGAAATTGTTTTCGTACAGCAACCCCCAGAGTTATCGACCTAAGTCATTTTGGCTTTCAATTCTTCGCATTCTTTAAGTCGGAAGTTGTTCTAAACGAAACGCAAAATAAATGCTATATATTGCTTTTCATTTAAAATTCGAGAATTTCACAAAAGGAAAAGTAGAATCCTTCATGATTCCATCTTTGTTGGATCCGATCGTTAAGTTTTTCCAACAGTACATCGATTTTATGAAAAGGGAACTTTATATAGAAAGCTTCGTTCTCTAGTGCAGCGCCTATTATTATTTCCCTTGGTCATGAAAATGTTCTTAAAGCACAATATGTCGCATAAGTAATTGCACAAAGGCCATAGTTCACTTTAAGTGTGCACCTGAAAATTATGAAACTGAGACCTGTACTGAAGCCTACTAAAGGTAATCAAAATCGACAACAAAAACAATAATCATAAAGATCGCTCAGTTGAATTGTGGTCGTACTGACACCTTTGCGCCATCTCCTTGGCGCGGAAGATGACGTCGTGGACAAGATTCGCCGCAGCTTCACGGATGTCCTGGTCAAGCTCCTGCTTCTCGGGTCCCAGTGATACGAGCCCTGCAGTCAAATAACACGACATGAGCAATTATTAATTACATAGTGAGTCCAATAACAATATACTGCTTCCAGGCAAAAAAACGTGGCCACATTTACATGGCTATGATGGACGAACCCGATTGGCGATACTGAGTAAACGCTGTCCGGAATTATTGAACTTACTCTAATTTAAATATAATGTAAAATTAAAAAGAACTTACTTTGCTGGATTAATTTCACTAAACCTTATGCAGGTCGTGGAACTTACAAGTCCTTCAGAGTCATTGATATGTGCATACTCATGCACACATAAATGATTCTGATGATGCACGTAGGAGATGTTCTAAATAAACAGTAGGCGAATTTTTCACCAGACTATTTGTTTAAAGTAATAAATGTTCTGTATAAGCGCTCGGTGCACATGCTATTTTACATTTTAATAGTTGTGAAGTTCTTTTCGACTTGCTTTCTTATTCCTTGAGATCATCAGTCCTTAATATAAGATCATTTGACGATTTAATATTATAATGTTTTCATCATACAATGTTAATATATAACTTTAGCACACTTATAAACTATATAATTGCTATAATCTATAAGAAAGACTAGGACTAGACTACATACCTAGCAATAAACTAGGTAGCAGAAGGCAAATCTCACAATGAATGAATACCCTAATAGCGAGTGCTTTCGGAGCAGCTGGCAGATGGATGGAAATATAGCATTCAGTAGAACTTGTTGAGACAGATTGAAAGAACAAGTGCTTGATCGTCTATCAACCATTAGAGCATCACATTCGAAATATAACAACATGTGTGAATTTCTTTGTCTCTCTTAAAGAAACCGTAACGTTTTCTATAGTACTTTGTCATCATTACGCCTAGTTGTTTATCAGCCTATTTCATTATCGATCTCGTACAAACGGCGATACCCTCCGCTAGAAGGGTTGGAGGGTTTGTACCTAATTGTATGACCTTAGCTCAGCAGGAAAGTGTACTATTTCGTATATTTTTCATCTCTTCCTTCGTGGAATATTCATTTTGATTCTCTAAACAAATCTGCAGCAAGTGGCGTCGTTGACTATATATTTGTTTTAATTTTCAGTTAACAAATTCACTTTTTAAATGGCTATTATGTTGTTAGGCCACGTTATTGAAGTTAGAGTCCTATCTGTGTAGTGTTTATAACCTTGTTGCGAAGCATGATGATAAAAATCACTCGTTTTACTCCTTGTAAAATCGACTTTCTGATGCAAAGTAGCTATTGTCTACATGTCGTTTCATGTCCAGCTGTTAATAGTCCAGTGGGGGCTTAAACCTCTGTTTCAGTCATCCCCCTCCAGCTGCATTATTTGTAACAAGATCGGAGTCAACAGACGTACTATCCTGTAATATATATGTGATGCGTGCTCATAATAGGCTTATTATTAAATTACGTACGACCTAGCTCATCATTATCACTGATCGAATAGTACCCACAGGCTGTGAAATAGCTGCCTGATCCGTCAAGCGTAAACACGAAAGTACATTGCTAATCCCTACCATACATTTACCGTGAACGACATCAGTTCTTCATTAACAGTCTGCAACAAGATGACTCATTTGCTTCAGGTTTGCTGATGTTAGCACACGAGAGCTACGCTAACAGATCAGACGCTTTGAGTCTTACGTCCGAAATTATCAATAGACATCGCTATATTAGTCCCCGGACTAGCTTACATACATACATACATACGCACCACATGTACCCCTAAGGTTCGTACGTGACCATTGTATAATCACCGGGGCTGCTAGAAAAGAAAAACGAGAAAGGGACAAGACAAATTCTTCAGAAGATCACCGGTATAACTAGAATGGTCCGGTACGCATTAGAAAGATGAACTCTTTTACGCGTTCCATGGAAGCGGATTTGATGCACCGCCGAATGGGCTGTTATCCTTTAGATTTCGAGACAACCGCACCTTTATTAAAGCTTGGTGTAAGACGGGTACACCGTACTACAACTTGAGTTTAATAAATGAATACGTTTGATGGGTACAAAGGTAAATCGACATACAAACGTAACGTACACCACATGCGCATTAAGAGATAAATAATGAAACATCACTCGAACAAAGAACATGCGAAATACATCTAATAAAAATTATATGCCTTCAAAAAATTATACCTCTGGCCACTGGAACAATAATGGACGCCGATTGATTGCCGCATAGCTGCCGAAAAATAAAAGTCTTCGTTGCGATTTCATAGGCTTTAATAACATTAACAGTACGGTCACAGAACTGTGGGATCTCAAATAATCTGTGTTTAGGAAAATGAGTATTGAAAAAGTATTGCGGTTTCACAAAACTGAAAACCGTGTTACGCAATACGTACACAGCATATCTGTGCAGAGGTACTACGGAGGTCGCGTATCTAGGTGCGCATTTGTTAGCTTTGTTATTTAGTAGGTAACATAGATAAGATATACGTTCTATGGCTGCATGATAAATAAATGGACCAATTATCACAAACTGTGATAGCTCGACGCCTGTCGTTAGTTGCCATTGGTAAGGGGCCGTGGCCTTTGCGTTATACCGCGTTTTCAATGAGGAACATTTTATATCTTATACTTAGGCACCATATTTGTGCTCGAACGAACAGTTTGGTCTTCGGCTGCCCAACACCGTTCCACTGCAGTCGGCCAAATCTCATTTGAAACGGCGACTCAGTCTAAAAATCGCACTCCATTCCTATTCGAAACTCGGAGATTTACTACTGTGATTCGAAATTATATTCGTCGCAAATTCACAAGTCGGTAAATTCCAATTCGGATCGGGCCCAGAGGGGTCGGCGAACGGCCTAATAATATCGAACTACGCTCCATAAATTGCATTCTAAATACTGTGGGGGAACAGATCAGTTCTCCGACAACAAATACTTAGAACTACAAATACTTCCTACTAGCTTCTGGCTAGGAACTCCAACGAAAAAGGCTTTGCAATAAACCCAGAATTCTGTTGCGTCGCATTAAACCGACACACCCTTACGGCAGGCGTCGCTGATGGCAAACGTGAGCAAGCACAGGGCGAGACATGTCGAAAAGCTTAGAGGTACCAAGGTAAGACTGGTCGCGCTAACAAATGCGCATTTGTACATTCAAGGCCTTTGGATACTAAATCGCCGTTCTGTTAGCGTTTATCTGAATGTTCTCTATCGAATTGTACAGAGAATAATTTTTCGCACAACAGCAGATTACATCATGCGGGTATTGATGTGCCTGAATCACAAGGGCGGACTGCTGACAATATGTTTCTTTCAGAATTTCAAAAAAACATTAGGTAATCTACCAAAGGTATGTAACCAATGCAATATAGTCAATACTGGTAAAGTAACAGCAGTACATATGAAAAATTCTACAGGTGGCTGTAGTGCCAGCAGTCCACAATCAAACTTAATTGGGACGTTTGCCCTGCCCAAGTCCTGCTAAGCAACTGCGCTGCAAAGTAAGAGTGGCAGACACGCCTCGGTGGAGAAGATGAAACTTGATTTTTCGTTATAGACCTTCGTACCATTCAGTGGCCTTGAACCGCGTTTCAACACTGTTACCGTCGACTCTTCGCTCTCATGCCGAAGCATTCATTGAATTTGGCCAACGATGATAGAATTCCGAGGTGCTCTGAGATGTTTTAAGCAAGACTGAGGATTTTTTACGCGTCCTGATAAATGCACGTTCAGGCTACATTAATGGATAACAATACTAAACAGACCTATGTGACTGAATTTCTCGTAAGAGTATCAGCGTTATTGCAAATATTTGGAAGCAGCATAACAGCAAAACTTTTCATTTTAGATAATAAGGTTTCAACGTGTTAAAGGAACGCATAAGCCCAAATCAAAACAATAACTCACGCTTGAGCTCCTATAAAAGACTCCTAAAAGAAGTATCGAAAACGTCGGCAGATATTAGAAAAGTTTAATGTGATACCGAGACACCATAATTTTCTATATTTACAGATTTTTACAAAGATATGAATGCTCCTGTAAAAAAACAAAACGATATGCTTTTTAGAAAAAGAAGAAAATATTAAAATAAAAAAAAGCCGCGTGCTTAATTGATTTCGAATAAGCTTAGATCATAGTTGTACACAAACAGGTTGGAAGTATGGAAGCCAGTAGACTCGCAGTTACAAATACATAAATTTAAAATTAAATTAAAATAAGTCTGCAGTTGAAGTCAAAATGTGAGAAACGTGTAAGCACGATTTTCTTAAATGTGGGTCTCCAATCAATTAATTGCGAGACGAGGACTGCTAGTCTAAATGTTGTCTCAAAAAGTTTCGCCTTGAGCAAAAAAGCTCAGGATCTATCAACAGCTCTTTAATAGTTAGAATAAATCGCAGCGCTGCAAATAGCTCTGAGCTAAATTACATAATCCGAACAATTCAGAGACAGACACCTAACAGCTGGAAGATTAACACATTAATTGTCACATTTTCATTTAACCGAGATAAATCTTCCTTTCCCTAGCACATTCCCAAATATATCTTGCTGATTAGATCCCGGGAAGATAAGTTATAAACAATAACACAATTGAAAATTGAGCAAATGATCGTTCAAATGTACCCGAAACCTATTAGTGTATATTTTAGATTTTATGAATAATATGATTTAAATGCTAATATTTAGATACTGCTGAGTCTACACAAACGCACATGACAATTATAAAAGAACCGGACAAGATAAATTGTCAAAGCTGACAAACTTGAACCGTGCGGGACAACGCTTGAGGGGTTCATCATTCAAGGCGTTCGGGAGCTATGTGCGACATTTCCAAAAAAAAAGTCGGGTCATACTATTATTTATTTAATCGGACGACACATATCCCCGACGGCCTAAGAGGGACCAGCTCGTTCCTAAAACAATTCTGGTCCTTTGTTCAAGCAGTAGAGATTTTTTCATTCGCCCAGAACGCTGATATAATGATCTGATCGCTTCGTGTGCCACTAAGGCATGCCCAAACAGAGCTTTATCCAGCTGGGC